ATATATATATATATATATATATATATATATATATAGGATAAAATCGATAGAACCCTAGCAAAAATGTCGATCTAAAGACTAGATAATACTGACTGGAGAAGTTTTCTAGCTAGTTTTCTAGGTAGTAATTAGCTCGTAAATATTCTTAATCAGTATTTTGTGATCCAGCTGCTGCCTGATCATTATGTATGAAATATGATGGTCTTGATATGTCTTTTTAAAATCTATCACGCATATTTAAGTTGGTCAGCGCATCCAAATTATGGTGCTATATCAAAATCTCTCTAATAACTGTCTTGTACGGTAAATTCTGAGTAAAAATTGTATGTCGGTATTGTCAAGCATATACACACACATATATATATATATATATATATATATAGCGGCGTTTATCAAGCTGGTCGAGCAACAAATTGCAATTAGCGCGTTACGGCGCTAATATCATTTGGTGGACGTAACCGTGCTCGTGAACGCGATAACCCCGCGTGTGTGTTACTCCTATAGGTTTGCACGAAAGAGGGGAGAAAAAGAAAGGGGTAGGAAAAGAAAAGAGGGCTTATTCTGGGGCAACGACTCCGCGGAGATGCACTTTCACGGCAGATACGACGCGTATAGAAAGATAGAGGGGAGGGAGAGTGAAAAAAGAAAAAAATGCGAGCTCGCGATAATATTGGTGCGCTATAATTAGCAAGCGGTATTCTGATGCCAGATTTTGTGCGCGTCACGGCACGGACAGCACACGCGAAATGCAATTACATCTCACACAGGATGATTCACCGTAAAGTAACAATCGCAAATAGTTGCCTCGTCTGTCGGGAGTAATCGTGGATCTTTTTTTTCGATAATCCAGAGTATGTTGGGACTTTTCTCGAGTGCAAACCGGAGCCACCAATCCTCTGCTCATGAAATGACAATAAATATGCAAATAACGTGCCGTTATATACTGTTATCATTCTTATGGAAGTTCATTGCGACTTTCTCCCTGCAATTAGAGCGTTCGGCCTGAGCGAAAAATGATCTCGCCAATCCCATGCGCTAACATTAGTTAGAGATTTGCAAAATTTTCCGGCGATTTTAAGTTCACAGGTTATCCATGAGAGCGCAATAGACAAATCCCGGGGTTACTTACGGTCATGATATTTGAATGGCGCGAGAAACGCTCTTATCGCGATAGATTGTGAAAGTGAACGGACGCGATACGAACGGGAAAAGGCGGCTAACAATGATATTCACACCCGAATAATTCGTTGAACTTAGAGCGCCGATCTCGGGCGATCCGTGAGGAGCGATCTTGCTGCACATGTTAGGATAGTATCTAGAATTGAGTTTTCTTATTTAGCATGTGCGACCGATAGAAATTTAAAGCCAGCGATGCTTTGGTGGCCTCTCTCTCTCTATTAAACATTTTTCTAATTAAAGCTACATGGTTTGAACATTCATGAAATAACTGAAAATATTTATCTCCCAAATTTTGCTCATTCCGAGATTATAAAATACGATAGATTCCGAACCGTGACAAATGCGTCGGGAAGGTACTAAACGCCAGTCAGTTTTTACAGCCGTATCTTATAAATACGTCGTGTCGCGCTAATCGTCGCAGACGGAACGATGACGATTGACGTCTTTTGCGAACAACGGCGGTGTTTGAAAAACTCGTATTAACCGGTAATAAGAAGGCTTTTTTCGGCCGTTTCTTCGAGTAAGACGAGGGAACTCGTCGGCTTCTTCTCTCGATCGAATCGAGCTTGCGGCAACTTGATTGAAAACTTTGTTCGCAGAGCGGCGGTTCGGGCCGCGGGCCGGCAGGCCGGAGCAGCAGCTCGACCTCGCCCCCGCCTTCACCGTCGGAGGGCAGGCACGACGACAGATCCGCCGTCCTCGAGATGAGCAGCACAGACTCGGCTGGTAGCGCTCGCGGGCCCTCCTGCGGCCTCGTCAGTTCTCTCTTCCCTAGTAGTTGCCGTGGTCGCGCAGAAGCGTTCGCCAGACGTCTTCATCGCCGGCTGACCTCGTTGGGCGGCGAGAACGAGCGGAACGCGGACGCCGACAAGCAGCCGCGCGAGACTTCATGGCTACACCCATCGTCGTCCGGCAACCGCGTAAGCACCAGCAACGGGACGACGAATCACGTATTTCAGCGTCAGCCGCGTCACAGCCCGGAATCGGATCTCTTCTATGAGCTGGAAGACGGGCCAGGCTCGCCCGCTGAGGAAGCGACGACGGCCGCCGAGTTGGCCCATCTGCTAATGAACCCGGAAATCCTCAAGGCGAATCATCACGATGCCTGTCATTGTTCGCCGAGCGGCACCAAGACTGGTGGCCTGCACCAAGATGCCGAGACCGTGTACGCGTCGCCGATCAACGGCACACCGCCCGACAGCGACTCCTCCGAGCTGTTCTTCGACCCGGAATCCTCCGACACGGAGAAGCCGAAGAGCGAGGCGTACTTCGACCCTACGGACAGCGAAGTCACTCTCTCCAACTGTTCCGTCCCGTCGAAACGGACGAATCTCGAAGACACGTCCGAGAGCTGTTCGAGGGAACAGCCCTGCGAGAACGGTGGACCGCGCGAAGATCCCAGCTCGGAGGACTCGCAGGAAACGACGTCGCCTAGTCACGAGTCCCTGTGGAGCACCTTCGACGACAGCACGGTGTCGCTGCAAGACGACGGCAGCCCGCCTGTGCAAATCCGCCTGCCCAAGTCGCACTCTGACTCGGAGTTGCCGACTAACGAGCTCGACAGGTGGCGCGAGGAAAACGTGGTGGACGAGGTCGACTTTGCAGCCGACGAATCGAAAGCGGCTGAATACCCATTGTACCTGAAAACAGACGACACTTACAGCAGCACCATCAATATCCCAATTACGTTCACGCTGGAGTGCCCGGCCGGCGACCGGGCGATATCGAAAAACGAAGTGGAGCTGCAAATCGGCGACGATGGCGACGACGACGACGGCAAGATGCGCCTGCTACTGACTAAGCTCAGCAGTGCGAAAGAGGAGGAGGAGGAGGAAGAGGAGTCCTCTTCGTTGGAACAAAGCGAGGCGGTAGAGGAGGAGGAGGAGGAGGAGGAGAGGCCGCAGCGTATACGCAGATGTTCCTCCCTGAAGACTGGCAAAACGCCGCCCGGCACACCGGGCAGGAAGAAGATCGTCCGATTCGCGGACGTGCTCGGCCTCGACCTGGCAGCGGTGAGGACCTTCCTGGACGAGATACCGAGGATACCGAATTCCGCGTACAGCGATTTAGTATTCCAGAAGGACGACTTCTTCCAGAAGGACAGCAGTCCGGTGAGCAACGCTTGCGCCGCTGCTAACAGTTGGGCCGACTGTTACCAGAGTGAGAGACGCGGCTCCAGGAAGATCGAACGTATGCTGGTGCCGTTGTTTCAGCAGCCAGGCGGTATGGCGAATTTTCTGGATCTGGTGCGCGAGCGGCGAGTCTGCCTGGAGAACGTGCTGGTGCAGAATCCGGTGACCCTGGCGATTCAAGGCACGGTGCGCGTCATTAACCTCGATTTCCACAAGTCCGTGCACATACGTTACACCCTGAACTCCTGGCGGAACTTTAGCGACCTGCAGGCCACCTACGTGCCCAATTCGTGCGACGGCTTCAGCGACAAATTCTCCTTCGTTCTCTATTGCCACACTCTGTCGATTGGCCAACGACTGGAGTTCGCCGTGCGATTCCAATGCAAGGGCGCGCAATACTGGGACAACAACGGCGGGGCCAATTACTGCTTCCAGTGTCTGCCGGGCTCATCGCCAGCCGGTTACATACCGATCACCGAAGGCAGCCGACACGTCGACTGGTCGCCGATGTTTTATTGATGGTTGTCGGGGCTGCGCGTCCGCCCGATTCGATGACATGACAAAGATGCGCGATGAGACTGAACATAGTAGTCGAAGGGGTTGACTCGGCTTGGATTCGATGCTTTCTAAACGTTCCTAAGCGAGAGAAAGAGCTCCGCAACGAAGTTGTACCAACTCCCGAAGGCGTTCAATTACTCCGGGAAGTCTGTGTGGTGATTGAATTCATTCGTACGAAGCGAATACAAAGAGCGCCTCTCGAAATGTGTGATTTTAACGCGCGGGGTTGAAGGGACCCCCGACGAGGAATGCTCGTGAATCGGTCTGTCAATCGCGAAGGTTTCTGCGTCGTAGCAATATATATATATATATATATGTACATATATATATTTCTAACGCTTTTATAATCTTCCAACAAGTTTCAGTGCAGTAAGTAGATGAGGAAATTCACTTTGCTGAATTCTGAAACAAAGATCGGCCGATTCATCAACATTCCTTGCGAAATGTTCTCTTGAAGATGTTTCATCGCTTTTTCATTATCGGGCGCAGTGATAATATTTTCTGAAAAGGGAGAGAGAGAGAGAGAGGGGGGAAGATCACGCAAGTACAACGAATTTTTCACGGCCAAAACCACACAAAGTGAACAGTAACGCGATAAACATTTTACTGCAAATCACAGAGAGGAAAAATAATAATTGTAAATATATTGAATTTATTATAAATTTATGGCAGTTTAAGAATCATTGGTACGAGTCTTCGCGACGAGAGCGCGATTAGAATTATCGAGATTCAATCGCGATCGTCCGCAGAAGATATTGATTTTCACAATTAATACAATGTCTTGTAAATAGAAGAACCGATGTCACACACTATATAACTTGGCAATAAACGAAAAGATTGTTCATGTTCATGAGAACTACTTCAGCTACTACTTCAGCTAGAATATTCTGCCTTCGTCATTTTGACTTCGAAAACTGGTGATTACTGGTGACGTCAAATGACGTCAGTTGATCAAATAATACCTAATTTAAAATGTCTCTTTCGTGATATCTAAATGTTTATTACATAATTAAATAATTTGCTACATAATGACGTCAATTTTTCGTCATTTTCGTGTCGTAATTTTTTGGCAACTTATGACTAAATTTCAACGATAAAATGTGCGAGAGCGTGTAGCAACGAGAGTGTGCTAGCTGAGATCGACAGTCTTCGATTCGTGAAACAATATCGACTGATCGATCTTCAAGATATCGAAACGAAATTTTTCAATAGCAGACACATAAGGTAGACACCCAAGATGTCTTACTTATTTCCTGAAACCTCTTTTCACTTCCCGAGAGATTATTCGTGTTCACCAGACAGTTTTCCAAGCAAACAATCCATATATCAGAGTTGCAAGTAATTAATTAACCTTTTAATTAATTATTGTGTTTAATTGACGATTAATATGTGTTAATTCAATTAAAGTTCGTTTAATTAATCATTAAACTTTGCAAAAATTAATTAATTTGAGAGCCGTTTGTTCGACAATTGAACAAACTCAACCGATTTGAATTCGTCGAAATCAATTGTCCATTAAATGGTCTTTGATTGAGCTGGCTCATACTGATCGTTAATTGAAAAAACATTTAATTGATACTTTCACAACTCTGTTATACATACACTGTGAAGATACACGCACTGTAAAGATTATCGGAATTGAAGGAGCGTGGAAAGCAAGAATCTATCCGAGAGTTCACACAGTTGCGAAATGGCCTAAATAGAACTAACTACGGGCAATTCTAAGAACATCGCCGAGAATTCGTATTTCGACTGCTTTCGAGATGACAAGAAAGGCGAAAACATGCCAGTAAAAGAAAGATTGTAATATCCTTTTCTCAATGAGTTTCCCAACCCCTCCACATTTAATAAAAAAATCTGTTTACATATTTGTTCAAAAGTTATGAATATTTTAATCGGTGAACTCTGATGACTTTGATCGTGATCATATGTTGTTAACCGTCGGTTTATATTTCAGTACTTCAGTAATTATATTTATGCTTTCATTAATCATATCTATGCTACTTACAACATTCACTCGTAATTCTACAGGAATATTTACTAAAAGAACTTTGTAAAAAATCATATCAATGGTTTATGCTAGGTTTCCTTCTGCGTCAGACATGTTTACTGTTTCTTTATGCACGTGGTAAAAAGCTTGTGGTCGTTGCATCGGACATTTCTTGTTAATAACTGTTTAATGAACACAACTAAAACCTTTTTAGCATTATTCAGGACATTGTCAGCCTATGTCAAGATCAAGATCACTGAAATTCACTAGGTTCATTAAATGAGATATTTACTGAATTAATTTCTTTTTTCCTTTTCAATTTCAGAAAATCAGTTTTTCCTATTGGATACCGAATGCATTCTGCAGTTAATTGAAGTTATAATGTTGCAATTTTTCTTCTTTTCTAATCGTGCAATATAGAAGTCAACGCGTTCGGCTCTTGGCTGGTTATATGTCTATTTCACCCCCGCTCTCGCCGTGCCTGAGTATAAAATTTAAACGTTCCTAAGGAGTACCTTTGCAGAGTTTACGGTATAGAGATTAAAGTTAATAGATCGCATATTTATTCGGTCGCATCGCGGAAACATAGCCGATGGCGTCTTGAGGATTATTTTCGATAAGGGGGATTACTGAACTTTTACTTGGAGGCCAAATGTATGTGTTGTATATAGATAGCTCGCGAGATTTTATCGTAAGGATTCGTCCGTGGAGTTGCAATTTTATGTTTCACGTGCGATCGGAAGGCGAAGATGAAGATATAAATCAAATGCTGTATTAATTCGTTGAATTGGATTTGTTGAATGTTTTTTAAATAATTAAGGCTGCGATAAGTGAACTGTTGAGCGGAGGTTTGACGGTGTATCTGACGTAATTATTGTACACAACAACGTTGAAAGAGAAAGTATTTTTCTTCTCCTTTCTATAAGGAAACATATCCTGGACGTGTCCCTCGCTAGTTTTGATAGGTCTCGAATATATTGTAGAACGTCTGTGAATAGTATGTTCTTTTATATATACTTTTCAACATATTAAGAATTAAAAGAATTTCTCGAAGAAAATTCGATTATATCTTTTATATCTTCAAAATCACGTGAGATGTTTTAAATAAATCTATTTAGTGCTGTTTGTAAAATGTATGTTTAGATTGAAAAGAAAAAATATGTTTATTAAATATATATCTTTTATTTCCATTATTATTTTAGCAAATCATGATATTTTTATAACGATCAAAGTTAATGAAAATTTGACGTTCAAAATTTGAAAATTAGTGAAAATTTGAAATTCAGTCACATGTGCCAATGATGATTTCTGACACTGCATATTTGGTAAATGCGGTGTAAGCATTGTGCTACGCGCACACCTTGCTCTTGCGTGGTAAACGGCTTATAAGAGCATCTATTATTGTCAAATAACTTTGTGTAAAACATTCTTTCATATTCCTTACAAGTGAATAGGCTTCGAGGCTTCGAAGATATTTGCTCACAATGAATTTTAACAAATCCCCTTCAAGAGGCTGTTTCGATCTTTAAATTAATTAAGAAGCACACATGACAGAACACTTGTCTCTTAATTTCAGCTGCAAATATTCAAAGTCCATCAGTGGGGGCACTATCATATGTTTTTTTGTTAGAAGGAAGAGATCCCGAAAATTTTATGTACCGCATTCCGCTGAACGGTGCCGCGATATCGCTATTGTTTTCCATCTAAGAAAGTCTAATAACGGGCTAATTACGCTCGGAGGTTGAAAATGATAAATCAGCTAACGTGCAATGACGACAAACGATAATAAAACGAACGTAGATATAACGATATTAGTCCTGATTAGCGACATCGTACGAGTTTAAAGGAGGCTTCGTTGTATTATGTATGTATTTTATATGCGTATAGGCGGCGTCGATGTATTGATGTCGACGGACATGTTTTTTATATCGAGTTATTTTTTGAATATTATGCAACACGTTCATCTTTTCAGGGATGAGTTTATTAAAAAAAATATTGCAAACCGATTGTTTGTCAGACAATGGCGGATTTCTTAAAGTGACATAAATATCTCACAATTGTATTATATAATTTTATTATATCAACACCCCCGCATAGAGGGTGAAAAATATGTTTAGGGCATTATTGGCTACCAATGATATCTTGGGATTTTTGAGGTCACAAATCTGAAATACTTAAAACACTCAAAAATACAAAATCGCGGATACAATATGGCGGACCAAAGTGAAAAAAATTATTAAATTTCGATGAAACTCAATACTCGAGAGTTTTTGAAGTCGCGAATCTGAACTTAAAATTTGTAATCAGCAATACCGTCGAGACTGAGTTTCATTGAAATCGAACTGTTTTTATTTCCCCGCCGTTTAGGGCGCAAACGGTAAAATTTTGCTTAATCCGTAAATAATATCCTAATGAATATTTGCTCGTAACAATATTCGTTATATTCTCGTCATTTTAATTTTTGAATTAATAAAAGGAGCAAGAACGTATTCAAACATTATTCATACAGCTAGCATAATAAGCTTCAATATATGAAGTTATTTAAAGCTAGAATTTTCTGAAGAAAACACATTATATATATATATATATATATACGCTCTAGTATAAATATATGTGCTATCACATGCTGTCAGGTATCCCTGAAAAAGTGTAACGGTTACAGGAAAACTATGGAAATCGTTATTGTTTCGTGATAAATCCTGTATAATTCACGTTGTTACTTCCTCACGTAATGCATGTACATATACCACGAGGAGGAAAGAAGGAGAAAAATGCGCCGACCGTCGTGGGCGGATCTCGCCAGAAATTTTTGTACGAATCCTCCGATAGATCTTTTCTAATTTTATACTCAAGAATTGCGCCTCCTGCGATCGTCTTCGGTCCCACCGATGCAGCCCTCTACGTCACATTTCCGCGCGACTGCAGATCAAATGTCACTGCGAGATATATATTTTCGCATCTTCTCGTCGAATCGTTCCTATGCTTTGTTATCATTGTTTTAATTAAATAAGTCGCTTTTATCGGTCGTATGTACCTAAGTTGATGTATATAATAATGCTGTTGTTATTGACTTATATAATTTTAACGTTTTAGTGTCCCTCGTCATGTGAACTAGAATGTTGTGAAAAAAAATAAGATCATTTCGTTATTATAGCCTCGCCTACACGGAAAAAAACAATTTTCTGCTGCAAATTGTTTGTTAATACAACAAAAAGATTTATTAAGAGTATCAATTTTTGCCAATTTTATCGCAACAATGTTATATTGCGCTGCAATAGCAAAATTATTTTTTCCGTGTAACAAATCCTCTTGTTGTCACTATATTAATAAACAATTTACTGTTCCAGCAAAACTTTTTTCTCCGTCTATATACGTATGTACACACGCACGCGCGCGCGGTATGTAATACATATATATATATATATATATATATTTTTTTTTTGTGACAATATAATTTCCGATCACACTTTTTATAAATTTTTACATCGTCTAATTTCCACAACTACGCTTTTTCGTGTACTCAATCCCGATCGCATAAATCATATTCTTCTCATCGATTTTTGTTGTAAAGAGGTTTAAGTGTCGAACTGTGTCGCTTACCTGCGAACATTACTACCGAGACACGAATATGGACACGTGATGGAATTTTTCGATAACTGGTGTATCCGCAAACTTCTTAGCAAAATATTTTATAAACAATAGCCGTTAATACATTATATATACACATAGAGAATACTATGGATGTTAATAATAATAATGTAAATATACATTGTATCGTATGTTGGCGAGTATTGTTATCGATGTGGAGTGATCTATGGAATTGTTATGAAAATATGTGGAAGACCACTACGAAAATATAAGAAATGATTATTTACACGCGCGCACAACACATATACACAGTAGCATATATGCAAGTGTTAAATAATTAATAGCGAAAGAGTGACAGCTGAGAATATTTTCTTAAAGAATATTTTCTTTATTGCGTTATTGGGATATGTAACGATGATATCATATATACATGGCCGGTTTAGCAATAATTAGCTATAGAATTAGTTGAGATCGGCGACGATTGAAAACGCAAATTATATATATATATATATATTCGTACGACGAAGTTAGTTTTCGACATCGTCGTAGTCCATTTTCTCTGAGAAGAATCGACAAACTTACAAGCGCATATCAACGACGGCACTATTCAGTTTCTCTCTTTTTCCTATTATTTAACGAACCGCAGAAACTAACGAGTGCGCGAATGAAATGGTTGTTATCGTCCTTTTATTTAATTAAGATGTGATATCTTGAAATTGGGAAAAGGGAATCTCGGTTTCTGCCGCGCGGCAGAAAGAATCTACACACAACGTACGTCAATTTCCGAGTCGCAGATCGACGCTTGATCGTTCTCGTTTCGAAGTAATAATTGTCGCATTCATCTGTTACGCAAGAATATTCCGCAATAATGGACGTAGAAGCTTATAATAGCATAATAGTTAAAGTTTTTCATAAGAATACTAATTCTCAAAAAAGAATATACTAATTCTCAAGAGATATTGGATGTTTCTGAAATTCATCGAGATAAACATTTTCCCTACTGACTGTACGCTCTAGAAAAGTATAACTGCGCGTGTTAGAGCTATTAGTCTGCGTGAACATAGAACGGCACAATAGCCGTAACATACCGAGTTATATAATTTTAGAGCTTCCTATAAGAGATACAGTCAGTGCAACAAAAGGTTACAAAACTTCGATGAATGTTAGAATGCATTCGGTATCTAATAGGAGAATTTATTTTTAGCAATTTTCCAAAAGTAAATTATCCGAAGAATTTTTATTGGATACGTTGAAATTCATTGAGATAAACGTGTCGCAACCTTTTTCCTACTGGCTGTACACTTACGAAAGGTGTAACTTCATGTGTGAAAGTTATTATGCCGGTCTGTGAACCGAGTCAGTGGAAAAAAAAGTTGTAAACACTTATCATTTTTTTTTTTGTGCCAACAATAAACTTCAGAATATATAGTAAAAAACAAATCCTCCTGTTGGATGACTGATGCGTTACGAAGTTTCTTGGGAAAAAGGTGTTGTGATTTTCCTGCCACTGACTAAACAATATGACTGCGTTCAGAAAACGGTTGAGTGAGCGTTCGCTATTTGGATGTACTTATAGATTTATTATGGATCTAAAAAAGTATATATATACGGAGAGGATTTTATAATAAAAATTACTATATAATTTTGTAACCGAAGGAAATGTTCGACATTCTGCCTTAATTTATTATTCTTATGTTTTATTTGTGCTATTT